ACTTAAGACACTTTTGCCTCACAGGATGTCCTCTTTTTTAATTTTTTTTTTTTGTAAAAATTGGAATTTACTTACATTTTCTTATAACATGAAAAGATCTGACCTCCAAACTCCAACAAGTACATCTTCTCAGATGAAATCATGGAAGCAAAGAACTATTGAATTTCATGCGTCAGTGAAAAAAAATCATATGCTGTTCAGAGTGAGTCAAATCAACGGTGAATGGACATACTGTTCATAAATAGGAACATGGCACACACACACACACACACACACATATACTGTATATACACAAATAGGCAAGCCCTCATACATGAAAACATACATGGGTTATAACATGCACCATATACTTGATGGGATAGTCAAAGCACATGCAGTAATCAGTGTGGATCCTCTTGTGCGTCATTCAGCGTGTCACGGTCAGGCCATCAAAAACCCTTGAGAGCAGAGACACTCTATCTAGCTTTTCTCGGCTTGTTCTCCCTGTCACTTCTCTCCTCCTATCTCTTCCCTCCACTCTCTCACTCTCTCTCTTTATATCTCTTTTCCATGCACTCGCACACACTGTCGGCAGCGTATTATTGGAGGGTAATTAGTTCCTTTGGAGTGTCCACCACTCGCTCCAAGGCTCATCCTGTTAAGCACATGCCTGATCAAAGACAGGCCACGGCTCTTTCTGCAGCTTTAGGCTCCTGTAGTCATGAGAGACAGACTCACTGTTTGGCTTGCTAATTCTAAATCAATGTGGCTATTTAAAGGTGAAATGCATGACTGCTTGACTTGGCTTCATCCGTGTCAGAACAAAGGCTTGTCACTTTGTTAGAGCAATGTCACAAAGACTGGGAAAGGAAATAGCACATGTCTGGTCAAATGAAACATGACTGTCAAGTTGATTTGACGTGATGTTCATCATCAGAGGCAGTTTTGTCCACAATGACTTGAGACAAGTGAGCAGAGAAAAGACAAGACACATTTTGTTAATGACTTCTGGAGCAGTTTGTGACAATCTTAACAGTCAGTTTTTAGCCATGCTAGTGGTGAGACTCTAGGGATGGAAGTGTTGGTTGATCCACCACTTAAGTCCAAACTTAAATATCTCACCAACTATTGGATGGATGAAATGTATGGTCCCCAGCGGATATTGCCATATAACTTTGGTGATACCCTGAATCTTTGTCTGATCTCTTAACTTTGCACCTCACACCATCATCAGGTCAAATTGAATTTGTTTGAAACTCATGACACTGCCAGCACCTACTTATACTTTGTGTTTACTGCCAAATTGCAAATCTTAGCATGCTAACATCCTAAACCAAGGTGGTGAACAAGGTAAACATTATACCTGCTAAACATCCACATGTTAGCATTGTCATTTTGAGCATGTTAGCATGCTGACGTCATTTAGTTGAAAGCCTCGCTGTGCTAAAGTAAAGCCTCATGGAGCCGGTAGCATGACTGTAGACTCTCAGTGTCATTTCAATGTGAAGTTTTGCTTGACCTGAAGCATCATCTGAGCATAATAGATACAAGCTTTATGAGCCTATTATGTTGTAAATGTAACTCAATGGCTGGATCAGGTGAAATTACATGTGCCCTGGAATTCAACTGTAACTTGACCACTGCAAGAAGCAGTGTATATTTACTGAAAGGAAGGCTTGATCTTCATAAATCATCTTTCATCATAAATGTCATAAATAAATCACTCACTGTCTGTTACTTTCACATGTACACTCATTATGCACTCATTTTCCACAAAAATGAATCCTTACATTAAATGCCTGGGAGTGTGGCGAATAGTAAAAGTTGAGTACAACTGAGGTGAAAGTGCAAAGGTTATAATTAACTTCCTTTAGATTAGGGGTACTTAAGATCTTCAGTGGCAGAACAAAGAAGGGAATTAACGGAGTGACTGTGCCAACAGATGAAGAAAAAAATGATTGGCTTTATTTTTTTATTTTTTGTCACAGTGAACAAAAGGTCCAATTAATTGACTGATTTTAATTGCCCTGGTGTCCCCCCGCCCAATTAGAGGCTTAAACAAGGTTCTGGCAGGAGCAGCGAATCAGGGAGCAGCGGGCAGTTTTTAAGGCAGGTACCAAGAGCTGAAATTACACAAGTGTCTCTCCAGAGAGGCATTTTCATTAAGCTTTAAGACTCGGCTCGCCTCTGCCAGTGACCTCAGAAAACTTCTTAACAGTTTTGAAGCCACTATAATATAATGTAACTTTTTACCCATACACTAGAGTATTGGCTCTAGATCTGACCTGTTCTAGTTTTTTTTTTAGTCAACATCTTGGGATAGTTTTGTATTAAAACAATTCATGTTGAAATTAACTTGACTGTAATCAAATCAACTGAACTCTTTTTTCAGATTTACTACCCCAGATGTCTTTGGTTCATCAGACTGATGAAAGCAATGCAGCTGAAAATGTTTGGGGTTAGGAAAAAAAAAAAAAAAAAAAGAAGCTGCACGACCTGATTTTCATTTATCTCAGTGGACTTGAATAGCTTCAGCCTCCACTGGTCTGCGCCCTGCAATATGTGCTCTTATCTGAATTTGAAATTGAGTGAGACTCACACCTCACCATGGATTTAGAGGAGGCAGTGATAAAGATTTAAGTTTAGTTGTAAGTGTAATAAATCATGTCATGTCATTGCATACTTTCCCATTTGCTGCAGCATTCTGTTCCTGTTTTGACCTTTACGTGGGACTAAATATTGTATGGAGTCGTATGTGTGTTTGTGTTTGTTCATCGTTTTATGTGCACCGGATGTTGTGATTATATAAGTGCTGTGTGTTTTAGAGATTGAATTTTTAAGATGAGTCTACCCCAAAGATGTGTTAGTCCCCTGTAATTTAAAATTAACTGTACTGTACTAATTGTACTGTATAAATGGTCGAAGACGTGTTTTCACAGTGTTTCTGTAAATTTATTGTTAGGCTGTAACATTTGTTGACATGCTTCAGATTTAGATAGCCCCTAAAATAAACCAACAAGGGATAAAATTCAATTCAGACTGTTATTTCCCCTTGGCCTTAGCAAGTCTGATTTGTGAACATAGAGCAAACGGACAAGTCTCCTAAAATGAGGAACTGCACAGACTGTAATCTGATATGTACGTCTGCAAGATATCCATCTAAGTGTACTCCCAACAGCAATAAATGGAAGAGCTGCTTTGTGGCTCTATGGGCAGTGAAAATGAAATACTTGTTTGAGCTTATAGGGTCTTCAAAGATTATATTTTATGAAAGCACCATCCTTGCTCAAGGTCTACATATATTCTCATTTTCAAAGTCTATATCTCTATAGAAAACAACACAAACCACCTACTTAACTGCGCTTACACTCTAAGCATGCTTGCTTTGGTGAACTAGTTTACAGTAATAGCCTGCAATTAGTAATTGCAGTTTATATTTTCAGTACATATTTTGATCAGTTGCAATGCTTGCTGTAAAAGACTGCCTCTAAAGCAAACTTGTAGGCAGCCTAACCTACACAGTATTTCAGTTGTTCCCCTTTGCACCAGTTTTAGTGATGAGATGTGACACACAAATTATTAAGAGATGATAATGATGTAAATTATGAAGAGTAAGCAGATGGGGAAATGTCACTGTAAATTTTTGAACCAGTTTTACATGCTTCTGGTTTGTAGAGAGTTAACTGACTCGCACAGACAGAAAGTGTCCCATGTTTTATTTAGATGTTGTCAAGGAAACAAACCTTTTCAGTGAATGTGGCTATTTGTGTGTATATGGGTTGTGGCCCATTTGCCCTCTCGGTGAAGCACATTCTCCTCCATCTCTAAAATTGTTCATGCAGCTCGCTAAGTGCAAGTTTGATGGTTTGGGACTGTGTTGAATAATATGTGCACCACTTCTTGACTTGAAAGCTACAGAGGTCGGTCCCTGCTTTGAAAAAAAAAGTGTTTGTGCTTGAACAAAATCAATCAGTCAGTTCAAAATCCAAGGGGCACACTAACACTGTCTCAATGGCCAACATGGAAATAGCTAAGTTCTGTTGGTATCCTGTGTTTAGTTAACCAGAAGAAAGAGGTTATAGAGGATTTGTATTGAGGACTTGGAGCCACCATTGAAGCCACTGGCACAATGTTTCTGAGGTTGTGCTGGTGGTGTGAGTGTGTGCTGTCCCAAGAGAGGCAACATTTTCTGCTTGGACAGGCGTGGGTCTATGCGCCATCCGAGGCATCAGTGTTTCTAGTGGCAGTTGCCCACGATATGACCTTCAATCCATCCTGACAAAGGGCACAAACACGCTCAGGGACACGTCATTCTTTTTTTACTTAAAGCATTTTGTGTTTGGAGATCTGCTCAAAGCTTTTAGGCTTTGCCTTCACCATTTAAACACGCAGCTGAAATGCCTCTCATAACACTCTTCGATCCCTCACAGCCTCTAGAGCAAAGACACATCAATTAAACAGTTAAAGGGTCATTTCACCTACATCAAACTAAAACAAACTGTATTTTCCATTTTTCCACTCACTCCAAGGCTTGGGTTTATTTGTGCCCTGAACTCCAAGGAGCTTTTCTCTCAAAACTTCAGAATATAAAGTAAAACTATCTGCACACCTAAATATCACTAGTGATATGCTTTCTGTGATCATGGGGAACCATTTGATCTAGGGATGCGTGTTGCTTCGTCTATCTGCTGTAGCTAGAAAGTGAAAGAGAGAACATTGAGGCAATGTCCTGTGAAAGAGTACAACTATCATAAGAGCATAACAATCATCACAAACAATCATATTTTGTTTGGAAGACACTAATGTTAAATTATTTTGAGTGACTGACCTTTTAGTAATGTTGAAGTCAGGTTCAATTTTCTTGCAGTTATGGTCTTGGAGGGCGTCTCAACGCCCGAATTTGAACACAGTAAATTAATGGTTAATAATTGTTTTCCCCGCTGTCAGTGCCTTTATGCCATTGTAATTGCTCATCGTCTTCTTCTATCATTTCCTCCTCTTCCTCTTCTCTGTTTCATTAGACTGCTTTTCATCTAAAGCGGAGGACAGATTGTTTCGGAGGTTGTTCCGGAGGTACAACCAGTTCATCCGACCAGTGGAGAATGTATCTGATCCAGTCACAGTGGAGTTTGAGGTCTCCATATCTCAACTGGTCAAAGTGGTAAGAATAGCTAATTGTCTCTAACCAAAGAAATAAGATGTTTTATAAAAGCACGTGGCTCATCCATTCATCTAAGTTCTTTTTGCTCTGATGACTAATTCACCCTTTTCCGTCCTCACAGGATGAGGTGAATCAGATTATGGAAACCAATCTGTGGCTGAGACATGTGAGTGATATTCATCCTACATGCGATGTCTGTCAGATTATTTGTACAACAGTGATTTACACTAAGTTTCATCTTTCAGGTGTGGAATGACTACAAACTGAGATGGGCCCCTGTTGAATACGATGGGATTGAGTTCATACGAGTTCCCTCCAATAAAATTTGGAGGCCGGACATTGTTCTGTACAACAAGTAAGTTTTGCTCGCAGACGGTAAGATGTAAAGAGGCTTTAAATAGACATCACCCGTCATAGGCAACCACATATAAACCCATCAGGTGGCTTTGGCAGTAGTACCATGATGTACAGTAGTTAGCCGTCTAAAATTTTCATAAGTTAACATCTTATTCTTATTCTTCTAATGCTATTTATTTATGCTCACCATCTCTTGACCTTTTTGAGGTAAATGCTGTAATGGCCTCTAAGTGAAATGACATTTACATCTCCCTGGAAACTCTCTCTCACAGTGCCGTAGGTGATTTCCTTGTAGAGGACAAAACCAAGGCTCTGCTGAAGTTTGATGGCACCATCACCTGGATTCCTCCAGCTATTTTCAAATCATCTTGCCCCATGGACATCACCTATTTCCCCTTTGACTACCAGAACTGTTCTATGAAGTTTGGCTCCTGGACGTACGACAAGGCAAAGATCGACCTGGTGCTCATTGGCTCAAAGGTCAGTGGGTCTTTCTAGGTCACAATTTTATTCTAACTTTTATTCTAGCAGTTTTATTCTACATGATATATTTGCTATACAATATTTTGTTTTTTTGTGGAACTTGTATTTTATCTTTTGTAATTCTAAAATTGTTAGCAGGAACATTTTAGTACTAAGCCAAATTACCTTTTTTTATAATTTCCTCGATTTGGGCAAAAAGTTAAATCTCCTCATTTTGTTGTCAGAAAACATTTAATGAGGCATCACAGTTTACAAACATCTGCCAACTTCTGAACACGTCGAACTGTCCACATGTGTCACTTTAAACTGACTTGATTTTGGGGTGCCCTGGTGGCTCAGCTGGTAGAGCGCGTACCACTTAGGCTCAGTCCTTACTGCAGCGGCCATGGGTCCAATTTCGACCCATGGCCCTTTGCTGCATGTCATCCCCTCTCTCTCCTCGACTTTACTGTCACTCTCTCACTGTCCCTATATGAATAAAGGCAAAAACTGCCCAAAAAAACAACTTTAAATAAACTGACTGGATTTTGAATTTCATAAACAGAAACTGTGAAACCTAAAAATAACTTTTCCCATTTGCATTTCTGCAGGTAAACCTGAAAGACTTCTGGGAAAGTGGGGAGTGGGAGATCATCGATGCACCGGGATACAAGCATGACATCAAGTATAACTGCTGTGAGGAGATCTACCCAGACATCACCTACTCCTTCTACATCCGCCGCCTGCCGCTCTTCTACACCATCAACCTCATCATCCCCTGCCTCCTCATCTCCTTCCTCACCGTGTTGGTGTTCTACCTCCCGTCTGACTGTGGCGAGAAGGTTACCCTGTGCATCTCCGTCCTCCTCTCCCTCACTGTGTTCCTGCTGGTCATCACAGAGACCATCCCGTCAACATCACTTGTCATCCCTCTGATCGGCGAGTACCTCCTGTTCACCATGATTTTTGTCACGCTCAGCATTGTCATCACTGTCTTTGTGTTGAACGTCCACTACCGCACCCCTATGACTCACACAATGCCGGAGTGGGTCAGGGCTGTGTTCCTTGGGGTGCTGCCCAGGGTGATGCTGATGAGGCGTCCTATCGACCAGGGCTGCTCCTCCCCTGCTATTACAGCAGGAACAGGAGGAGGAGGAGGAGGAGGAGGAGGGAGCAGCGGAGGAAAAAAGAAGAGAAAGAACAGCATAGGAGGAGGAAGTGGCACAGGAAGTGTCAGTGTTGGAGGTATAACGGGGGGTGTAGCCTGTCCACCGCTGGATGGTGGCGCGGGGGGAGGAGGGGCCTCCTCAGCTGGTGGCTCCATGAACTGTGTGGAGTATGGCGAGATGAACCGGGATATGAACAGGAGGTGCCCCTACAGAGGCAAGGAGGTGCCGACTCCTGTCCCTCCCCCGATGGTTCCCCCTCCTCCTCCCCAGGCACCCCAGGCACCCCAGGCACCCCAGACCCAAGGACCCCAGGAATCGGGGCCGCCCAAGGTTCCGAGGCCTCTGAATGCCCCGTCGCCCGTCAACGCTGTCGTTGCCTTCTCTGTGGTGTCACCAGAGATCAAGCAGGCCATCGAGAGCGTGAAGTACATTGCGGAGAACATGAGAACTCGCAACAAAGCCAAAGAGGTACGTAAGCAGCTAAACAGTTGTAGCTGTCTCTGTTGTTTTCTGCAAAATGACTGGAGAAAATCTACTTGCCCTAGAAAAATGATAGCAGTAGATTGCATCTTCCCATTAGACTTAAACCATCTTTCCGCAGAAGGTCTAATAATACTATAAAAGTGTGATTAACAGTGAAAATCCCCATGTGTGCAGTGAGTAAAATGTGGGTGTGTTGAGATAGACAGAAGAGAGCCCACCAGACATCTGTAGCTGCTCCTCATCTCTGCTTGAGGCTAGTGGCTCGAGGCTATATTATCCACTGTTAGCTTAAGACACCTGAGCTTCTGACCGAACTGTTGGCAGCTGAGTTTCATTGTGTGTCATGTAGGCGGCAGGTTTTTGACAAGGAAGAAGAATGTGTCGAATAAAAAAGACAATAGTATTATTATTGTATTAAAGTATTATTGTTGCATATGCCGCCTACTAGCTCCTAAAGGGAGACACAAACACAAGCATAAGACGAGGGAAAGACACAATCTTGAGGCCATAGCAAAACCAGAGAGCACATCACAGAGGCCTACCCAAACCTTAACTATAACTCTGAGATGTCTAATCTCAAGTCGTACCTTAACCATGACCTGGTCCTAACCTAAAATCAAGTCTTAACACTAAAATAAACATTCCCCTCCCACCAATAGAATGGTGTGAATAGATTTTGTCTTCACAATGCACCCAGCCCACATACAAACACGCACACACACACACAACAAAGCTATACTGCATGTGTGTTATCTCTGCAGTGTGTGAATGTCTACCTAGCTTAGTAAATGGTGTAGAAACCATTTAGACGGAGCTAAAAAGGGACTGTAAAGCTGCTTGTTTGTTGCAGATGCAGGGCTTTGCTTCTGCCTCCTTCACACTCTGGATGGTCCTGATATGCTTGTTGCCTCAGCTCCATCTTTTCTTTGAGGCATGTAGAATAGCCATACCGGCTCCTCTATAGGCACACAATGGCATTATGGTCAGTGCAGCCGTGATCCTATTGTTCACACCTGACTGATCAAGGAATACATGCAATAGCATATACACACACACACACACACACACACACATATTGTACAAACTCTAACAACGGCCAGATGCGTAGTCGTAAACACTGGTGGGCCTTTCAGCCTATATCTTCCACATAAACACGCACACTCCTCATAGCCATACAGCTCTGGTGTTGACACAGTGACATACAGTGAATGTGATGGTTTGTGCCACTGCTCGAGATTTCACAATTACCATTAAGCAAAGGTCGCTTGAAGTCTTTTAGGGAAAAGAGAGAGAGCAGTGCTAGTTCATGAATTTGTGTGCCCTAGATATTTTGTCTTTTTTCTACTTCCATACACATCTAAATTCTCGTCCTTCCTCTCCCCAGGTGGAGGATGACTGGAAGTACGTCGCCATGGTCATCGACAGGATCTTCCTGTGGGTTTTTGTGACAGTGTGTGTGCTGGGAACTCTGGGACTTTTCCTCCAGCCGCTCATCAGCTTCTTTAAATGACACATTTGTCTTTGTCCTGCCTCTTTCTCTCTCTCTTTGTCTACTTCTGTCTGTCTGTGTAACCCACTTAAATTAGTATGGGAATTATTCTTCCTGCAGCTATTTCACATCAAACTCTGGGCTGTCGTCTTTCTCCATTTCTGCCTTTTCCTCTCTCCTCTTTCTGCCTCTTGCTCTTCTCTGGGATTCCATCATCATCCATCATTTCTAGCCCTCAGCTGTCCGTTTCCTCACATGACTTACCCACATATCCCCGTCCCTCCCTTTTCTTGGCCTTTCAGTGTGCATGCAATGTTGTTATCCAGTCTTCTATTCTCCACTGCTGTTTTATTTTCCCAGACATGATTATCACATCTGCTCTCCTCCTCTTCTTCTTCCCGTTTTTCCTCCTCTCCTGTGCCATGGTTTGACTTGCCGCTACCTACAGCTTATCTTTTCACGGCTGTCTTCTGTCTGCCGTTGTGCCCATTATTCTCTGCATTCTCATTGTTATTGTCCCGTCTTATACAATGTTTAACATTGTCGGGTAATTGCTTAAGTAATTATCATCATAATTACTGTAGAAGAACCTCTTAAGATACGAATCACTAAGAAAGAGTGACCTGACTACCTGTGAGTGTTGCAATAAAATTTTTTCGTTATAAGTCAGTGCAATAAATACAATATACTTTTGAGAAATGTGGACCAGTATGTCCCTCTAAAATTTCTAAATTAAAGACTACTTAACTATTTTTTGACAGCTGGTAATCATATGTACAACCTTATGATGTAAAGGACATTTGATGGCTGCCACATGTTTTTCAGAATGATTTTGTTGATGTCAAACACCTGCAATCATCTCTATGTTTCCCTGTACATACCTTTGTCAAATATAAGTGAGTTATGCATGACTTCTGAAAAGGACACCGTACGTACGCTGTACGCTATGGCTGTACACCCTCGATGATGACGTGTTTTCCACATGTGGTCAAACTACATATACTTATGCACCGCACATAAATTCACAACATCAGTGCAAACTTAAAAAAATTTGCACAATGTAGATTAAACTTGTAAAAAGACTTGAAAATGGCCAAACTGTCCCAAGTCATTTCTAATAATAAAGAACTTCCTGGACTCAAACTCCGTCTGAAATTTACATCATCTCCTTGTGATCTCTGTGCGTGTTTCCTCCAGTGCTACGGTTCTCTCACACAATATAAAGATATAAAGGTGAAGTGAAATGGAGACTCTGAATTGAATATCGAAGTGAATGTATTCATCTGTCTGTGTGGCCACCTGCCCTGGGAGCGCTCTGCGTCTTGTCCAGTGTGAACCGGAATAGTACCCAGCTCCCCACAACCCTTAACTGGATCAGTTTTTTATTTTAAATAAAATTGATGAATGTATAGAATACATCATGACTATGCATATAACATCAAGGGGGAATAACGCTGGAATAGAATTTTTCCTGTGAAGTATCAATAAACTTTTTATATTCACACTGGATGCATATCACAGCATAACTGCTCGCCTGCTGGTGTATGTGTACATGTTGCAATCGTGTTTGAGAAGTTAATGCCCTCTGACCTAGCGTGTAATTGCATTGGTGTGTTTGTGTGTGTTCCATAGACGGTTTTTAAGCTGATGTCAGACAGTGACACAGGGTTTTTAAGCTCTTCAGTGAAAGAATAATCAGTCGCTGTAGGATAAGGAGGAGAGGTGGAGATGATGCAGAGGAAGGACTGCAGAGAGGAATGACAGAGAATGGATGGAAAATAGAAACTGTATTAAACCACATAGCGTAGTAGGTCATCAGAATGGGTAAATAGAAAGTGGGCACTGGTAACATATGGGTATAAAAGAGACAATTTTTCAAATCATTGCAAGTAATATACTGCAAACAGTTTGCAGACATATACTACCTACGACCTGTGTTGCATCTCTTTTTCCTTCTGAGGTGAAAGATGAAGGTTTTAAGATCTTCAAAGGCTTTCCACATTGATGAGTGACTGAGTTTTTCTAGAGCTACGGCTGCAGTTATCGGTATATACAAATAATACAAAAGAATAAAAAAACTTAAAACTAAAATAAACTTCAAGTGTTCATTTTAGTGAGCAGAATAAGAGCCAGTGATCTGTCAGGTACAGATGGATGATCTTGCAGTCTTTGTCGTTATGACATAATAGTCTAGTATTAGTCCTGTATCATAGTTTATATTATTAACTGTATGTTTCTTAAACAATGGTACCAGTGCAAATAACAACTCCCCCGGTTAAAATATGGAAATGTACGAATTTTCACTCACCCACAATACTTCTTTGAGCACCAACTTCTGCAGCTGAGTTTTGCAATGATGAGACTGCTCTTATAGTGGGCAGGTGGTCATGATTTTATATTAGTTATAACTCAATGAGTTTGTAGCTGCTGGTCACTTAAAAAAGAGAAACAGTGTTATTAGGGATTGGAGGATCGTAGAAATGAGGCAGAAAACACAAGGAGGATGGAGTGATGAGAAAAGGGTGAGGGGTCGGGGGAGGAAGCCAGCTGTTAAAGGAACTGCCAGAGGTGCTCACTCTGTCGGGGTGCTGTTATGAATCAGTGAGTCAGCTCATGCAAGTCCCAAGTGTATACTGGGTACAACACTGCAAACATATAAAGAACTGTGAGTTAGGATCCATGTCTCATACTGGCAGATACAGAGGTACACTCAAATTATAATACTCTCATGTTAGTTGAGGTTGTAATTATTTTATTTTCATTCAAAATAAAAATATTTAAGATATTATTATTATAATTTGTAGTACTAAAGGTTGATCTTATAATTTTTATTTAGTTTTGGACATTGCAGCTGCACATTAGATTCGTTAGATTTGTTCAATTATTTTTCTGGTGGAAATATTTCAGAAAAAATTTCATTTTAATGACACCTCCAGAAATTTCAGGGTGAATTCAGGGGGTTCTACTCACTGAAACAACAATATGAAAACAGTCTGGAATCAGTTTTTACAAGACAGTGAAGACACACATTGAAACACGTTGGCTGCAGTAAAACCCCAACTGGCACAAACAGCAACTTGAAAGCAAAAAGCACAGCAAAGCATTTTTTCTTTGAAGCTCCTGTCTTTTTCTGACTTATCCCTCTTTCCCTCCCTCCATCAAAGGTCACGGGTGAGTCTGAGTGTGTCTGTCAGCACTGACACACACACACATACACACACACACACACACACACACACACACACACACACACACACACACAGTGGGGGTGGTGAAGGAACAAGATGCAGCCCTTTCCCCCTCCAGTCAGACTGGAAAATGACTCCGGCTTTGAATCGGCCCACCCTGCGGCCCCCAACAACTCACACTTAATCCCCACTTGTGTGCACTGAATGAGCGTGTGCACATTTCTGTGAGTGAATGTGTGTGTGTTCAAGAAGGGAGGGGGAAGATTACACATGTCACCTGAGGAAGTGAGAAACAGAGAGAGACACTGAGATAGTGACAGTGTATGTGACACTATATGTGCCCTCTTCAGCATGGATTTTCGCTACATCCGGATTATGGGATGGATGGAGCATAGCTATAAAGATGGAGATGCAGCTGCAGCAGCAGCAGCAGCAGCTGTAAAGCAGCCACACACACACTATCCTATCAGTCTCAGGGTCACATCAGGGCTGATGTGACCGTGTCACATCAGCACCTGGCTGGCACAGAATGAAGAGATCAGCCAGAGAGCCAGCCACTCCTGCTATATTTGGACAGTATTTGTATGATACATGAAATTTTCCAAAACTCCTCAAGCTTATTGAGTCACCCTTCAAACTTTAAACAGCAAATAAAATAATAAAAAAAGCCTGACAACACTTGAGTCTTTTAAAATCAGATTCCCACTCCCATCCCACCCAATCATACAAAGATGTTTCTCTTTAACATCTTTGGATGCAACTTCTACAATATTTTGAGAAATGCACAAGGGTTTGCTGGTTCTCCAAAACTGCAGCCACTTTAAGCTGAATTTGTAATGGTGTAAATTTGATATTTTAAAGCGGTGGATCTTCGTTGAGTGATTGGACTTCAAGTACTTGGTGGCAGTCAGAGCAAAGCAGAGCGCAGTAAAGCTCTGGGTGCTAAATTGAAGGATAATACATTATTAAGCCAGCCACATGGATGAATATTTTACACGATTCCTCACTGTTGACGCCGACTGTTAGCATCCAGCTCCTGGATAGCAGGACTCCAGGATGACAGACTTGACACAGCGTGTGTGTCTGCAGGATCTAATATCATGCTTTCTGGTTGTTTTGGTGATCAAACCTTTTGAAAAATAAACGACATAATTCTGTTTTCTGTAACCACACGTGGGTGTCTGTCCTCGTCTTCTTCCCTGTCTCTTTCTCTCTATCGTTTCCTCTCGGTCTTCAAGGGACCCAAGTTGCAAGGAAATGATGAGCCATCTGCAGGGGACCACTAGAGCATGCTGGGAAAAGTTAGGGTGGGGTTGTAGGGTAAGATGGGGGCATACTGCAGGAGGGTGGATGGTAAATTAGGGTAGTCTCTTGTGTCGTCGGGAGCAGAACGGTATGTGCCTGCGGCCAGTCAACTGTGGATAAGTAAAGGAGACTCTCCTCTAAATAATTCATTCCAGTGGGAGCCTTCTGAACACACACACACATGCACGGTCCGCTCATACACATAAATGGCTGTTTCTTGAATTAGAATACAACACACACACACACACACACAAAAAGAACAGGCTTCTAATTTTACTCTCTGATGAATATTTATAGATGGATGAAGAAACATTGTCTTAGAATTAAGAAAGAGCATTTTGGTGGAACAACAGAAAATGCTTGTGGCACTTCCTGGGTTTGCAAGCGAGAATCACAGAAATTGCAAGTTAAAATGGTAATCTCGCAGATTTCAATTTAAATAATTGTCTTTTAAGTCACTATCTATCACCAAATGGGGTAACACAATGGTGACTGAGCCTATGACCCACTGATGAAATTATGTAGAAGTCCTTGCGTTTTACAATTTTATGAACTGGGTGTCTGGAATGACTCACCCGCAAAATCACTAGGAACACGAGACACTAACACAAAGTTAGTGACGTGTGCACCATCACATAAGTGTGGTTCAAAACAAACTTGATAATTCTTCAAGATTGCTACTTTCATATTTAGACAAATACTTACAGCACCTTCGGAGCAATATGCACTTCCCTCTTGTCTTCGAGTGACTTGTACTGTCTGAACAGGAGATGTCTGGTAGGGCACATGGTTCATTTCTTAAAATCTGTTGATAAAAAAAGAACAATAAGAGAG